TCCTTCCTTAGGAATTACCATGACTGACACACGTCCGGGCAAGCATTAAGATGAACTTGTACTTAACCTGTGGACATAAATGTCAGTCTCCAGATGAGCTCTTCTGATCTCAAACTTGGAGCAACTTGGACTCTGCAAAATGACTTCCTCTACTGTGTTACTTGCAGCCTACCACTGGAGTCACGTAAAGCATGTGAGACCTCTCTCGTTACTTATATACTGCTACTTAAGTTGAATATTAGAAATTTTGAGCTAAAAGGGCCCTGGAAGCTTTCCTTGGTTCACACCTTCAAATTATGTGGGAGCAATTGAGGTCCAGAGAGCCTAAGTGAACTGCCCAACATTAGCAATTGGCAGGACCTCGAAGCCAGGTCTCTGGACTCCCCGGGCAGAACTGTTTTAATTGTACCATATAGCCCAAAACAATAGTTTAGGGGAAGGGGTTTTATTGCTCATAATTAAAGCATGTCTTTTGTGTTAAAGTCCAGAAAACGTAGACACACAAACATTATTTAGTTCTTTCCCTTTTTATTTCCATTTTACAGATCAGGAAACAGGCTTGATGAGTTTATAATAACTTATTTCATGCTACATCGCTAGTCAGTGATAGAGCCCCAGTTCAAATCTGCTTTTCTCTTTAAAACCTGAGCGCCTCACTTTCCATGTCACCTCTGTTGGGTGCTTTTGTTTTAAGCCACAGAAATGACAACCAAGTGGAGTAAATGATAAGAAGGATTTATTGGGGCAGGGGCGTGAACAGGGGAAGTGTGACTTCCAGTGTTAATCAGTCCAAGCCCTGCGATCCATGGCTCTGTCTTCCTGGCTTGTTGCTGAAGACCTCAGGCTGACTTCAAATAGGCTTCGCGTGTCCCCATCCATACCCAGGAGGGACCAAGGTGAAAGTAAATCATCTATGGAACAAATGTCCTGACCCTGGGGCTCTGTTCAGACCAATCTCCAGACTAATCCATACACTGAGGATGGGATTAATCCTGAGAACCCATCCCAAGAACTAGGAGTGAGGTTAATGCACCCAAGATGAACTGCTGTCACATAATAGTGGGAAGCGGTGCTCCTCCGGAAAGGAAAATCTGGAGGTTGTTAGAAAAAGCAGAGAAGAATGAATATTTTACAGGCAACCAATACATTTCCTTAATTACCTCCGAAGCCTCTCCATGTGTATGTAATCCACAGGGTCAAAGATGCACAACTGGCAGCATAAACCTTGGTGGAGGTGTCCTTGACGCCTGTGTTAAGGTGGTAGGGGAAGAATTGCTCAAGGTACATGACGTATGCCAATGTGCAACAAGCATTTTTTGGATTCTTGCCTGCACTTTAGGCATCATTAAACGAATAGGTATCAGCCTGTCAAGGCAGGACCTTCCCAAAAGGAATGTGAGCTTTTCCCGGGGGCTCAGTCTGCACTTTTCAGTGAGAAAGTAAAGGGACTAATAGTGAACCTTTTATAACCCAAATTCAATCCTTTCTTGTGTGCCTAGCTCCAGAGTCAGTGTCTCAGACACCACCACCACCCTATTTTAGAATAATGTCTATCACAACATGTTGCCATGACTGTCACATGTCTAACATCTCCACGAGACCACAGTCTCCTTAGGGAAGGACTGCTTTTCACCCATCTTGGTCCTCAGCGTGGAGTAGCATGTCACCAACAGAAAGCAAATGACTGCCACCAAACAAGCAGTGCCAGCTCTGAAATGAAGGCTAGGCTCGAGCCCCTGGAATACTGGGGAGTCCAGTGAGCTCCTCTGAACCTCCCCTTCAACCAAATGAGAAAACTAACCATGTCTCATATAAAATGTAAAGTGAAGGAAGTGTTACCTCTTTCCATTTTCCATTCTTTCTAAGATGCACGTTTTCTCATACTTCACCATCTCTGAAACTGAGATCCATTCTTACAATGGACTGATTGCCTGTGTGCCCCAAGTTCATATGTTGAAACCTAACCCTCAAGGTAATGGGATTAGGAGTTGGGGCCTTTGGGAGGAGATTAGGTCATGAAAGTGGAGCCCTCATGAATAAGATGAGTGCTTTTATAAAAGAGTCCCCAGAGAACTCCACAGCCCCTGTGCCACGCAAAGTTGGAGCTAGAAGGCACTGCCTATGAACAGAAAGCAGGCCTTTATCAGACACCGAATCTGCTGGTACCTTGATCTTGGACTTCCCAGCCTCCAAACACATGAAGAAAAAGATTCTGTTGTTAAGTCACCCTGTTTATGGCATTTTGTTATAGCAGCCTCAAAGACTAAACAATCCTGTAACCCATGTGTAAGTACATACCATACTCCAATTGACAGTGTTTTGTCTTATGTCTTATGTGCTATACCTTAGTATTCCATAAAATAATGGTGAATCTTACAATCAAAGGTGTCTGATAACAAAGTACGATGTTATCGATATCCATGCAGTACTCTGCCTCTGACAAATGTTCCAAATCTGCCTAAGAATCAACTATTCTACTTGTCAACCTCAAGGGGGCCCTTTTATATCCCTCACAGCACCCTGGGTCTCTATCCATCTTACATTTTAAATGCATCCAAACCTTTCTGAAAATTAGTTCTATTTAGCACAGCGTTTAATCTTACTTGTCTTTACCTTCCATTACCGTCTCACCACCACCACCACCACCACCACCGAGCTTGAAAGATGAACTGTGCACCGTTTTGGAAAGAGTACTTTTAGTTCTAGTCTAGTTTTGCCACTAATTAGCTACATGTCAATTATCTGTCATCGGCAAAATGGAGGTGCCAGTATTTTCTTCACAGTTATGCTCTGTCCAATGAGATCACATGTGTGAATGTCCTTTAAAATGACTCCATTCTGGAATCCGATGAACAGAAAGACCTCCGTGCCCCTGTGTAATTTTACCAGTCTTGGACAGCTTCCAAAGACTTCAGAAGAAAGGATGTCTTTTAAGGTGCATTTGATTACTTCCTATATTCACCCACATGATCACTGGAGTGATTTCTGTTCTCGAAAGATCTACAAGACACGGGAAACAAAGTGACTAATTGTTACATCGACTGCACCCAATTTCCAGTAAGAATGTGAACTCCATGGCTTTAAATGTCAGTGGCCCCCTGACTTAGGCAGGGAATGCTTATTTGCAAGGACCACTAGGGGAGCCTTATCTTGAGGTTTTTAAGACAGTACCAGCTTGAACTTGAGAGGATGAGTTGTTTTCCATGTGACTTACCAGAGACAAGCTCCCTTCTATGTTGGGCACTAAAGTAGTCATCATTTATTTGCTGTTTTATTTGTTCTTTTTAACTTGGGGCTTTCCCCTCCTTTGCACACTATTGAAACTCAGCCTGTCTTTTACTTGGTTTTAGGCCTAAATTATGGAGTGGGAGTGAGAGTGGGGTGGACAATAGGATACTAAGAGCTATTTAGCACCTACTGGGTGCTCAATTTGCACACATCGTCTGGTGTCTCTAGACATCTGACAGCACTGTGAAAGAGTTTAGTGTTTTGTGTTTGAGATGAGGACACTGAAGTGATTTGTCAGATAGCATGGAGTCAGAACTGGACCCAAGCCTCCTGAGCACAGACCCTCAACTTTGTTTTTGACTTTTGGTTTTGGTTTTGTCTGGGGATAAAGAAAAAAAAAGGAGTGAAAAAATTTAGTATTTGAGCAAGCATTTGGCATTGTAGTTTTAATTTTCTTAAACTGGAGGCCATCTTCTTCCACTTTCTGTATGTCTTCCTTTCATGTTTTATTCCCCAAAATGAGCTGGTCAGTGAATCATTTTCCTTAAAAATTTTTTTTTTCTGGAACAATTCCAGATTCTTATGGCATTACAGAATAAGTCTAGCTAAAGGCATTCCATAAAGCAGACAGCCTTAGGGAAGAAGTGAGGGATAAATTACATGAATGAGTTAGTACAAAGCTGCTAATAAAACCTACAACACAGGTAAAAAAAAAAAGGCAGAGGTATAATTTGATGACATTTATTTAGTACCAACTACCAAGAACTAAAAATATAAAAAATAAAGAAGTATATATTATTTATTTAAATGGCAAAAAGAGAGACATCTAAAAAGGAAAATAAAAAATAAATGGCCAACCCTAAGATTTATTTGTGCAAATAATCACACAGCAAGAATTTCTCTGTAACATTAAAGTGCATTTTCCTTGGACAATGAAAAAAAGATGACTTTTTTACCTTGGTCTAACTTTATCTGTGATTAGAGTTCATAAGATACAATTCTTATAATGTATTATATTTTTTCATTTCACAACGTTTTTTGCTTCTTTTTTATGTTTGATTATTGTTTTACTACTTTTGTAGTAAAGTTATTTTATTATTATTTTTTTTTTGCTTTTGTTACTTTTCTCTCTAAAGAGTAAAGGAAGTTCCTCTTTGAGAAGTCTTTGTATGAGAAAAGAAAAAAAAAACTAGTCTTTAAATTAATCAGATTCCTTAGATTCACAGATAGAGGAAACTTTATATTCCTGGTTTCTCACAACAACCATAATAATTTAAGCGATGTAGAGCATACATGTAAATGAAACTTCCAGGATTCTTTTTGGTTAACAAAAAGAGGTGCAGAAAATATATTTGGAGAGAACGGTGGAGGAAAATATATATACAAAGTTAAGCAAGCATGTTTCAAAGGCGGAGGTTATTTCTAAGACATCGTTTATATTTTATTTCTCCTTTCCTTCACAAATTCATCAATTGCCTCTTCAGTGAAGCAAAGGGCTATTTTTCCGGAGCAGGAAAATCCCATTATAAAATGCTGCAGAGAGGATGCTTCTTTGGTCATATCTCCTTGATTTTGAGGGACCCCTGTGGTACCGGGAGTGGTACCAGGAGCAAATACAGCACGGGCGTCCCTGGGCGAAAGTCAGGGTGACCCGCGCGCACTGCGTTGCTGAGACCCACTTGCTGCACGTGAAGCCTTCTTCGTCCTCTGGCTCGACGGTGACAATGCCCACGTTAGGAAGCTGAGTTTGGGGACAGGAAAAGTGGCTGCCTTGGCCCGGCTGCTGGGCCGCTGGGATCCCGGAGCACCTGCTTCTCCGCAGGCTCCCCGGCGGCCCCCGCGGGGAGGGGGTGGTGCGCCCGGGAGAGCGCGCTCCCCACCTGGGCCGGGGCGGCAGCAGCACCCGCCCCGCTGGGAGGGGCCGCGCGCGGGGCAGGGCCGGGCCGGGCTGAGCGTCTCCGGCCGCTCCCCGGCCGCTGCTGTCGGAGGAGCACAGCACTTGTTTCCAAGGTCTGTGGCGACCCCCGCGCCGCGGGAGCGCTGGTCATGAGGACCCTGTGGCTGGCGCTGTGCGCTCTGGTGCGGCTGTGGCCCGGGGCCCTGGCGGGCTGCGCTGAGGCGGGGCGCTGCTGCCCCGGCCGGGACCCCTCCTGCTTTGCCCGAGGCTGGAGGCTGGACAGGGTCTACGGGACGTGCTTCTGTGACCAAGCCTGCCTCCTCACCGGGGACTGCTGCTTCGACTACACCAGGGCTTGTCCAGGTGGGTGGCGGGACCCAGGGTGGGGCACCGGCCATTCGCCTGCAGCCAAGGGACAGAGTCCCCCACCGAGGACCAAGCATCCTCCAACCCCTTTGGTCTTGGCGGGTCCAGTCCCTCAATCCCGGACCACCCTAGCCCCTTCCATGCAGGGTCTTCCAGCTCCCTCCATCTATGTGCACCCCAGACTCCCCAAAGCACCCCTCCCACCAGAGCCTGGATGGGAAGTGCTGGAGCCCTCTCTTCTGGCAGGGCACAGGTCACTTCAGCTGCTGGATGAATTCTTCCACTCAGGAACTCCAGCTTGACAGGGCCCCCTCCCGCCTGGAGAGACGGCTCGGGCAGGTCCCCTGCCCCGCCCCTGGGTCAGGCTCCACTGCTTCCATTCTGCGAATCCTGAGGGATCTTAAGGGCCCTGTGAGTGGCGATGAGAGAAGGAATGTGTAATGATCTCGCTTCGTGCCAAGGGCTTGCTCTTGGGGCGGGGATGGCGGGGGTGGGGTGGTGGAGCGTCCTTTCTCCTGCAGTTCAAGTTCTTGGGGGAGCACAGTTGACCTCGCCTCCAGGCTCCAGCCTGCGGATAGAGCCCCTTCCCCACAAAAAGGGCCCCATCTGTTCTTTGAATTCAGTTTTATCTATCTATCTATCTATCTATCTATCTATCTATCTATCTATCTATAGATGGATAAAGTTTTTTTTTTTTATTAATCTCAGGGATCCTATTATGTTTGAGTCTTGCTGGTTTCCCTTTTAGAGTCAGTCTTTTTCATCTTTTAAGTTTCCCACAGTATCACAGCCCCTGGTATGGGCTCAATCAAGGTTGATTTAATCAAATGAAAAGGGAAAGGAAGAAATGGTGAGGATGAGCCTGAAGAACAAGGTGTACCTGAGAGAAGCCAGCTCCGGAAACAGAAGCAGCTGTGCCCTGCCTTAATCACAGCGCTCCCAAAGCCACACAGCTGTTAGGGCTTAACCTCAAGGATCCCGGGCACACAGCTGTTAGGGCTTAACCTCAAGGATCCCGGTGTGGGATCCTCACATCTTCCTGGGAGAGGAACCTGCAGGGCTGGGTGCCTGGCAGAGGGCAGCAGCCCTCCTGCCTCTTTTCTGCAGGCAGAGGCCACCACCCCGCGGGCGCGGCAGAAGGGTCACCCAGGCCTGCTGCTGAAAGAACACAGTTGAAACACAGTAAGGTTTTTTTGACCCTGATGGAAAGTTAATGATTTACCTATGAATATTGATTTTCTTTTTGATAAACTTCTTTCACTTCCCTGCTCCAAGGCCAGGAGATTTTACTACTAAAGTAAGGTGAAGAGGCAGTTATTTCGGAAATGCAGTGCCCTTGGGCCAGGGGTCCTAAGCCCCCTCCTCAGGTAGCTTACCTAGGCCCCTGTTGCCTCAGTTACCTGGGTCACTCAAGTAAAGCCTGTCAACTATGGCAGCCTCTCTCACTCAATCCTCTCACTCGAGGGATTTACCTACATGTTAAAGATAAATATAGAATTCCTGTAGTTCAGGTAATGTGCCCTGGACTGTGGTAAGCACAGTGACACAGAGATGGTGAGGGCACAGCCTCTGCCCCCTAGAAGTTCATAGTCACACATGCAAAGCCGCTTGCAACACGCTTAGTGCCAAAACACAGGATCTGGGATGCTAGAGAGGAAAAACTCAGACGACCAGAGGAGTTCAAGGAGGACTTCCTGGAGGAAGTGATGAGCACGCCTAGTTCCAGAGAATGAGCGAGAGGAGAAGGGAATTCTAGGAGGAAAGCATCGCTGGCTGTGGGTGTCAGCCTTTTGTGCCGGGCACTAGGCTAGGCCCCGAGGCTCGCCTGGAGAACAGGATAGTGAACGCAGCTAGATATGGAGAGATTCAAGCATAGACAAGGCATGGGGAAAGACAAGGTGAGTGAACTGAGAAAAACTGGCTTTCTAGTGAGGCCTAACCGCGCTACGAGGAGTTGCAGAATCCTCAACGTCTTTATTTGGTCAAAAATAAATCCCTTATTTTCAGTCCAGGAGGGAGAAATATTAAAACAAAGAGCCTGTCATTTTGGAGTGGGGATTTATTGGGTAAAGGATAGCAGAAGACAGGAGATGACCTTGCCATCTCTGGAAGGACTGAGAAAGAAATCTAGCTTAGCAGAAGACGCAGGACCGAAAAGACTCCTTGTTGGTAAACTCTGTGTCTAGAGGTTTTTTCTTGGGAGGGAGGAAGAAAATAGAGACAGTTGGAAGTTGGCCACTTTGGGGAAACTGAGCCTGCTGGCACCTCGGAGCTGAGGTGGAGCTGAGGTGCCCGGGGTCCTCAGGCCTGGCCAAGTGTCACAACTGAGCTGACTCCAGGGTTCGGGGAGGGCGGGGTTGGCCTATATTAGCATTTTACGGGAACTGAGGCTGCCAGGGTTCTCCCATAACTAAGTTGCCACAAATGGGCAGTGGACTGAGAGCTGAACCCACCGTGGCCTGATTTCAAGCTGCCATCAGGCACATCTGTTCGTGCTAATGCAGGGCTATTATTTATTCCCAGCTAAATCAAGGCTCGGCAGCACGGAGCCCCCATCCTGCCTCTTAGAATCTCTTCTCCTTCTTACCCAATGCTATGTCACCCGTTGATGCTGCCTGAAGCCTTTTTGACCGAAATTACATTAAATGGGAACAGAAAATGGAACTGTTTTCTCGGAACTAAGCATGCTTTACTTCTATTCCTTCTGATTTTTTCTTCTTGATAAACACATTTTTTGGTGGGTGTGGCTAAAAGATGAAAAACTGGAATTTCTTTTTCTAAATAGAAAGGTTTTTTTGTTTTTCTCACTAAAAATAAAAATACCAGGTGTGCCAAAAAAAGTGTATATACATAACTTGTGTTCATCTTTTGTTATCAGTATATATTGAGTATTAAAATTTTAATACAGCTTTTTCCTTTCTTAAAATGTGTATACATTTTTTTTGGCACCCTCTGTATATTAATGGACCTATAGAATTACTAAGCTGCCATTAAAAAAAAATCTGTTCTGTAACTAAATTATCTCAGAAATTCTCATTATGGTGATGGCATGGGTTTCAATACCAATTTTGTATTTTCATACACCCTCCCCCCCCCAAAAAAAAGAGATAGAAAATTCTCCATTGGCCTGATCAGGGATAGGGGGAAGGGACGAAGGAGAGGAGGGGGACAGATTCAAGTTACCTGCATAGGAGAACTTCTTGGAAAACCTGCTTATCAGGCCCAGAAAACCCCAGTTTCTAATTCATCAGCTGGGTTCCCAGAGTCTGCATTCTAAGATCATAGGAACAGTAGTTTGCATTAGATCGTGGATGAACAACTGAAAAAAAGGAATAATTAACCCAAGTGGAGAGGGCCAAAAACTGAGTAGACTGGATGGGCCAGTCTCTTCTAGATTTATAGGAAATCTAGGAAAACCAACTGGCCAAAAATCTCTGATATCATATCTAGAGGAAGAAGGGGCACCATCCTTAAACATATGGGCCCCAAAACTCACCCAAAGGAATGATATCCCAGTCTACGATGATTTAGAAAGTTGAGGCTTTACTGGAGCCAAAGCGGGTGAGTCTGCATGTGGCTTCCCCTGTCTCTGTGTCTGCAGAGAAGAACGCGCAGGGCCTGGCACCAGGATTCATTCTGCAGAGCTTGGCTGCAGCCCTGGGTGTACAGTCAAGGAGGGGAGAGTTGCCAAGGCTTCCCCAGCTCTGACTCCAGGCCAGGCACCTCACAGCTCTAACCTTACTTGGGGCTCACCACCTGCCGAGGTTACGGGCACACCTCAGCGGTATCGCGGGTTCAGTTCTAGACCACTTGCAATAAAGCAAGTATCACAATAAAGCGAGTCATAATCTTTTTGCTGGTGGAGGGTCTTGCCTTCAATATGTGTTTTTTAAAAAAAACAACGCAACAACTGTGAAGCACAGGAAACCGAAATGCAATAAAAGGAGGTATGGCACTGGGAGGTTAGAGGTGAGGCAGGTTGTCCAAAGTCACACCACTAATAAGTGAAGAAGCGAGATTTGAACCCGGGAACTCTGGATCCAGAGCCCAATGGTTAAACATTATGTTTTCATTGCCTCAGAGAAATGAGGCTTCATGAGAAGCTGTGTGCTTTGCAGGGTAGACCCCAGATAAACACTGGCAGAGCGGGTGAGTCTTCCATGACTGTGTGCTCAAGGGCAAACTGTGTCCTGCCCTTCTTGGCAGTCCCCTGATGGCTACTGTGGTGTCGCTTGATAACGTTTGTTAAAACAATTTTCGCAGTCATTCCACCGAGGGGATATTCTCTGTGGCTTCAGAGGCACTGCCAGCTGGGGCGTATCCACATGTCCTTTTAAAAATAACATTTTCCTTCCTTGACTACAAAATCTATGTTGCAGAAAATTTGGAAAATACAGAAAGGCACACACACACACAAAACTCACCTGGAAACTTACTGTCCAGGAAAAACATCATTATCTTTTTGATTTTTTTTCCCTGGGTTTCTATGGTGTGTAAAATTCCATTTTTCTTCTAATGAGGCAGCCCATTTCATTGTCTTGCTAACATTTCATGCACTTGTCCAGTTAATGTCTTGAAAGAAAAAAGAAAAAACCCTACTGGGGGCCAGATAACATGGTTTCTGCAAGAGGAAAAAAATACTTGATCATTTTATTGGAGCTTTTTTCCGGGGGTAAATAGGCACTTGGGGAATGTAGTCTCGTTTGACCTTCAGAGGAGTTTTGGCAAGGTTCCACAGAAAAGGACACATATGGAGCGAGAAAAAGGCAGATAATATACGTTTAAAATTGTGTCATCATGAGATGTATGTGCGTGTGGATAAAGGGGCTTTCTTTTTCTTTCATATAATGTCAGGAAACAAAAACCATGTATAAATGGTCCTGCTGTGAATACAGTGTAAAAAGAATATTTCCCTAGGAGTGATTCGGACTATCTGAACTTGACAATGTGAGGGAGAAGGTACTGGATCGTGGGTGGCCTTAAACTTGGAGGCGGCA